TAGACTATTGAGTTATTTTCAAAGGTTCAACAGCAAGTTCGAACTTTTCGAGAATAGCTCTCTAGTTATATTTTATTTTTTATTATATCACTTCCTTGCTCGTCGTTAATTTGTAGTTGTAATTGGAGATGATGGATCATTCCATCTCCTTGGCACACCAAATCTGTGTGCCAATTGGTCCAAAAGGTGCATAAGTTTTTAGTTAGTTACAGTCAAAAATATTAAAATTCTCGTATTATTAAATTTTGATGTTTGATTAACGTTCAGTAAATATTACAGTCATTTCTTTTTTCTTGTTTCGTCTTTAGGATTTTTTACTGTGATTGCATTTTATGAAATTTGCAGTTTTTCTTTTGTACATAATATACATATACAGTTTAAAAGTATTTCATAATAATTAATAGGATATTATTTTTATTAGTAACTTCTTATAATATTTGTACTTTTCCTGTTTCTTAATTAACTATATTTTTTAACGTAAAATCACGCGTTTAAATTTAATTTTATTCTTCAAACGGTAAATAGAGATTAAATAAATATAAATAGGGAAATCAAATAAAAAGTGCATCTGTGAATTGGACCACTTATACATGTTAGGCTATTATATTACTTGATTCAATGATTAATATAGTTTTCTTTTTGTTACAGGTGATCATCAATGGATTTATTATCTATTTGTTTTTTGATTTTCTTCTACTTGAGCTTCTAATACAATTTATACATGCATTTCTGAAGGCACACACGAAAATTAATTATTATACATATTCATTGTTATTTTATATTCTGTAATAAATGTAGCTCTAAATATTTAAATGGAATATTCTGATAGACCACTTTGAAAAATTTGGAAAAAATCGGAGGACGGCCTACTTGACTATCCCCTTATGATAAAAGGTAAAGATCATTTTTTTTTCGTTACCTGTGTATTACGTATAACATGTGGTTAATGCAAGTTTGCAACGGAGTACAGTTTAGTTGATTAACGAATTAACCGAATAAGTATAAGTAATAATCATTAAAATTCATTTGAAATGAGAATTTATACGTGTAAAATTCAAAGATCATTTCGATCACAGTAATTTCTTTAAAAAAATTTAAAGAAATACAAAAAAAAAAACAGATTATGATATAGGAATACGTAGGCAACACTCGCAATTTGTCACGGATTATTTGATGGTTTGCAAGAAAATCTAAAGCATCAGAGAGAGAGAGAGTTTGAGAGAGTGAGCGAGAGGGAGAGGGAGAAAGGGTGAGAGATATATGGAGAGAATCATATTTGAAAGAAAAAATAATACTTTGGATTATGTAAATATAAATAGAAATGATTGAGAAGTACAATAGTTATTCAAAGATCTTACTCGAGACGTTGTGCATGGAGTGTAATCTATGCACAGGCGTGAAACCAAAATCAATACAAATTAAAATTTATAATAATTAATTAGAATCTTTAATACAAAGAGATGAGAGAGAACAAATTAATAATAGAATTAAACGTATTTAAAGATAATGAACGAACGTTTTTGTCACGTCGGTGGTTAGATTCGAATCTACAGTTGTAAATTTTAAAATCGGAGTATTTTTGCTTTTTGGTGATAGTAGTATTATTAATAAATTGACAAGTTACTGGAAAGAGAGAATAGTGAATGGGTTAGGCATACAATGTAATACGCGAACAATGAAGAATAAGAAGAGATGATTAGGCCTACAGCGACAATGCCTTTTCCCAAGTAGTAAGAAGACTATAATATTCCTATTATGCTTATTCTCCTCGAATCCACCTAACTCTACTGAATTTTTCGAAGCCATTCTTCTTTGCTTTTTTCGTAACTTTCTTTTTCATCAGAAATTTTAATATCGTTGTTATTATTATCCTATTATACGAGATGAGAGGTATATTCTATATACTATGGGTCCCTTTTAATCCCTTTTCGTTCTACTATCATTTCTAAGTATATTTACCTTGAAATTATATCTTTCGATGAGATATTATCAAAAAAATAAAGAAAAAATAAAAGGAAAGGTTTTTTTATTATTATACGTGTTTGCTGCGTGTATGCATGCGTGTGCGTGCGTATGTGTATCATAGAGAACAAAATTTTTTCCTTCAACATTTTTATCGAAGCGTGTGTATATGTGTATTATGCGCACGCACGCACGCATGCAAAAGCCTTTTTCTCTCTCTCTCTCTCTCTCTCTCTTCCTCTCTTTTTCTCTCACTCCTGCGGTGGCCTCGCAAATATGTCAAGGTAATTAAATCTGATACGTGTATGTGAGTGTAAGAAAAATATTGTGTTATTATAAAATTCCATGGAGTATTAAAATGAACATTTTCGACATATTTTCATAAACATTTTTCGCATTTTCGTGTATCTTACTAATTTGCAAGGATTTTTCCTTTGTTTCTTCTTCTTTTATCACGAATACAATTATATTAAAGTCCTCCAAATGTTAGGCTCGTGCAAGGGATAATAAATTTATTTCACATTCTTTTTTTTTTTTTTTTTTTCTTTTTATATTATTCTATATTTTTTATTTTATCTCCCATTTTAACTTTTCATATTTTATTTATTTCTCCCACTTTCCATTTTTGTTAGTTCTACGGTAATTACTTTTGGACGGGTCGGTTAATAATATCTTTGTTAAGATCTAACATAATCTTAATTATTATATCTCGAATCTTCGCATACGAAGCTTCTTCTCTTGCCAAGAAGAAAATAAATATAATCCCCTCGAAGAAAAATACAACTACTCGAGAATTTTTCGACTAATCGTAAGATCATCAACAAATTGTTTTTTCTCATCGTAATTGATTTAACATCATATCGTGACAACTAGCATATAATGAACGATCTTTTGTGTGATAACTTGTTTAACATTCGGTTAAAGTAACTTTATCCGATATAAATTATCCGAATGGACTTTCATTTTTTATTAACGATCATAATGTTACGCGTTTCAGAAAAGTTTGATAAAAGAACGATCGATCGAACAAGTTGAAAGTCTTTTCTTGCGTTAACATATGATTACGCCTATTGAGGAAGCTTCTTATTTCTTCCATTTAATCTTGGTTTTTTTGCTTTCCTCTGGTAGCTGGTACTCTGACGCTTAGCAATGGGGCGGTAACTATATATATAAGCCTATGAATATACGCATACAAGTTCGAGCATTATAGCTAAACCGAATAGCGGACGAACTCAGACGACAATAAATTCGTGGTACAGTTTTGCTTCAACTGCGATACGCGTATGTCGAGTATTTTCGAGTTTGTACGTTTCTTCTCGTGTCCAATTAAATATTTCCAATAATCAAGGTCATGGTGAATTATTCATATTATTACGTCAAGACCATCGGTGACGATAGCGATAATGCAAAGACATATAAATTTATAAAGGGGTAAGCTTGATACTCCGATAGACATCATAAAGTGACGAAGACAAATCGAATTACAATTAAATTATATCCAAGAATTAAGCTTTGATCTATGTGTATGGGCAACAAACACCTGAATCTTTGTAGAAACACTAAACTACAGGAAACACCTAAAGATGTCTGGTCGACTATCGGAAGATACGGCCTTCGTTCGAGATTACTTAGAGGAGGACTTTCCGGTTCTGGAGACGTTTATCATCCTGCCAATGTTACTTTCAAGGTCCGCCATCATCGATTTTTCCTAGTATCGAACTCACCGAAGAAAATGGCTGGGTAGAATTAAGCTGTTTTCACTAAAAACAAATTGTCTTCATTCCTTTGCGAATAATACACTTTTGCTATCTTTATTGTGTTTTTTCTTATAAATTTATGCATTTATATATACAAAGTAGGGCGAAAAATCTCATGGTTAAAATAAATTCCTTTGAGATATATTTCTCTACATATTTTCCTAAAAAAATTTTCATATTAAATAATTGTATTTTTTAATCATTTTTTTTTTTTTTTTAATTTCTTACATATTTTTTACCATTACTTCGAAACAATTAAAACTTTACGGAGTTAAATTATTAATATAAAACAAAAAAAATGTATTAAGTTTGTGATATTTCAACGCATGTTTCATTGAAAGAAAAGTACATCTCTATGTTTGGCAAGTTTTTCGAATCAGGTGTCTCATATTAAACCAAGTAACCATATATGTATGCATGCATATATACGTATGTATACCTAAATGCGTACATAAATTATATACATTATATAATACATACACTTACATGTATATATATATATATATATTTGTGTGTGTTCATTAGAAATTTCGTTATCTTTCATAGTGATCATTCTTTCCTTTTTTGTTTTTTTTTTTTTTTTTTTATTTTATTTCTCTTTTCTCTCGCATTATTTCCTTACATTTATTCCTACGAAAACCTATTTTAAAACATAATTTAGGATTATCGATGATCTTTCCTTGTCAATTTTCGACGAGTTAAAAATAAATCACGATGGACAAACCGTTAAATTCTTATTATAAACTACGATTTAATTGCCATTCGGTTTAAGAAAACGTGATATAATGAAGATCATTGTTAGAAAAACATTACGAAGTTAAAACAATTTTAGCATTAGTAGTATCTCTTGCCAAAAACTAACAGCAGAGACAAGATGTTTTCTCTTAGATTAACTGTAAACTACATAACATAAATAATACTACGTAATCGGGGAAATCCTTCTTTGACATATCAAATTCTGACTAAATAATTCGATCATTGGGATTATCCCAATTTAAAGCATCAATTTAACGCTTTCTAAATAATATTCTTCTTAGAGTCTAATAAAAAAATACTCATCTATTTTGCGAATTCGTTTGAAATAAAAGTGTCTATGATTTTTCCTGGAATAATAACAAATTGATTTCGTCTAATACGTAGAAATCTTGTTTTACCAAAACCTTTAAAAGATTCGAATAGACGAGGAAGTATCATAGTCGTTCATACGGTTCTAATATCTACGGTGTTCCTCCGACAATCCTTTATTCAAATTCTTTTCAACGAATAAATTGTTTTTGAAAGTATTTCTTTCTTATTTTTTTTCTTTTTTTTTCTTTTTTTTTTGTGTGATACATATTTTCGTTATATACATCAACCAGTAATAACTCGACACCCTATATAAAAATATATATTTAAGCTTTCTTTCATGCTCCCGAAATAGTATCTTTACGCAGCAAACTTTCAGAGAAGATTCTCTCTCTCTCTCTCTTTCTCTCTCTTTCTGTCTCTTTCTTTCTTGGTAGTTTCAACTTTAACGAAGTCGAATAGCAGAGAGGAGGAACGTATACAGTTATTTTTTATTTTTTTTTTTTTTTTTTTTATTTTTTGACAACGCCTACGAGTATATTTATCACGTGGGGGACCATTGAACCGCCGGTTTTTGAGCGAGAACGAACCTATCGAGACCGAGACCTCAATTTCGGGATACATATTCACGTGTATAAAACAAGTGCCTATTGGTATTGAGTGAAAGTTTCGAATGGTAGGAGAACGACATTGAAAATGATTGGTGATAATTCGTTTTATAAAGAAAATGAAAAAAAAAATACGTAATATAAGGAACACCCATAAATGTTGATAGTACTTTGGAAAACGCTATAAAAGGATTGTGCAAGCGATAAGAAGAACTCACCTGAGTAAGTTAGTGTCGAGTCATTTATAAGAATGATTCAAAACGTACGAGAATATAGAAAAGGAATACATTAACATTTTTAACGATAAACGAAGTTAATTAGATTATTATTCTGAGAAGAGGAAAAATAACAGACGAGTACATTGAATTTTCCTTACTTTACTATCATCTAAAAATAGTCTTAATTGTCGTAACAAAAACAACTGTTCTGTGCAATTTTCGAAAGGTGAAAAAACATTAGATATATAAAGAATCGCATAAACGTTGATTATATTGCTTTGAATAAAACTGTAAAAAAAAATTGTGGAAGCGATAAGAAGAAAAAGTCGAGCACACCTGAGTTCGTTAGTTGAGTCATTTTAGAATGATTCAAAAGATAGATAAAAGATATATTATTAACGTTTTTAACGATAAGTGAAGTTAATACGTTTATCCTTCGAGGAAAAGGATTATCGAAACGAGTGCACTGAGGTTTTACTTACCGTACGTACGAACTTTTAGAAAATCGTCTCAATTATAATAAAAAAAAATTACAGCGAGATATATATATATCTACTATAAATTTTGAAACATTAATGAAATATTTTTCTGTACGTGTGTGATGTGCATCTGGTTTATACTACGTTAGTGCTTATAAAAAAAAAAAAAAAAAAAAGAATTGTGTCGACCTTACTCCAGTATCATTTGAGATAAAAATCACTAGGTGGCGCATTCTGTCACATTGGCATTGAAATTGTCAGAATTAAGAGTGAGAGAGAGAGAGAGAGAGAGAACTTCGTAAACGTAACACATTTGTTATTGTGCAACGTATCAATAAACAACGGAAAAACCGACAAGCAACTCGGAAAATCTTCTTTCCGAAATTTGAGAAGAGCTCGCGAAGAAAACGTGACACGAGTCTCATTGTCCAAGTGTGGAAGATCCTTTATCGATTATTATAATTCAAGGGTGTGATAAGATAAAATCTAAAAGTCATGTATAATAATTATGAAAAAAATTCTCTCAATTACGGATGGAGACCGGAAGTAACGGAACAAATATTCGTGCGAAAACAAACAAAAGAAATTGAAGTGAGTATAGAAAGCACGTGATTTGGGGGAAGGGTATTTAAATATTTTTTTCTCTTGCAAAAATTGTCATTAAATTGTCACAGGTTTGTCGAATCAATTCAATATTTATTAGAAATCAGAAATTTGTTGAAACTATTATGATATTTATAATAGTCATTCAGGTATACTTATATAATATATAAATTCTTATAATTTTATATATTATATATTTTAATTGAACAATTCGAAATAAATCGAAATTGTCGTTACATTTATTCGAATTGATTCGAAGTGATGAATGTCAATTATAATTTGCAATTGAATTTTATTACGTTATTCAAGATTTATTTGCCTATAACTATCTAAATTCATACATAATATAACGATTAAAAAAATGATTCCATTGCAAGGCCATTCAATGTATTTCAAATATTTCGCGCGAAAACATTGATATCGATACTCGAAGCTTTCTTTCTCTCTCGAATTAAATCGAATCGAATACGGCGAAATAAGTCGAAGTTAGTCGAATTTAACCGAATACGAATGCCAGGTATCGATCGACTCGTTTTCGGGCCCTTGATTTTACAAATGAAATTCTAATATCGCGTTATTTTATTTCACATCATCGATAATTTTCTTACTAACGCGTTACGAAGAAACGATAATATATTTTTTTTTTTTTAAAGAAAATAAAAAAGAATTCTTTAAATTGCATTAATAAAAAAAAAATAAAATATTAAATAGAAGAAAATAAAGTAATTCGAAAAAGACGAGGTACTTATTAATCATGTTACGTTCCTAGCTAAGCCGGTAAGGTGCCACGCGGCCTTATGGAATAAACACACATTCCTAAGTATAATAATGCATAGACACAATAGGGAAAATTCGTGATAAGGGTTTGTTTGACATTTTTATCATCGTAAATGTCAAGTCGCGTGCAATCGAAACGTCATAGGCGTACGTCAACGTAAAAAAGAATACACGGTGTTTATTGAAATAAGAAATCTATATGAAGATTTGTTGTATTTTACGGCGCATCGAAATAGCGTCATCGTCGGGGAGTGACGAAATATGGGCGAGGACTATAGAAAAACAAGGTCTGGTGCGTTGATGTCGGAAGAAAAATACGTAGACCGTGTTAAAGGAAGTTGAGAAAAATAGAAACGCGTTCGTTCATCTGGTTCACTTTCGAGTTCGAGTATTTTTAACAACTTTAATGTTTCCCATACGGCCTTCTAATATTATTTCAATGCAACTCGTGTCGTATTCCGAAAGCAAGGTTAAATTGATCGTACCTAACATCATCATCATCATCATCATCATTCGTGCGTGATCTTAACGAAACACACGTTCAACGTTTTATTCTCATTAAAGCGTTTAATTCTATCGTATAAAAGTTCTAATAATTGCTCGTGTTTTCGCGAAAATAAGTATTAAGATTAAAAATAAAGTGATTAACAAAAAAAAAAATAAAGAAAAAAGCCGGCAGACTAACCAACAATGGATTACTTTGATGGAGGTACCAGAAACGTGCTCGATGACGTTTTTGTTAAAACGGCCGTCGAAGTGAAGAGGATATTACCGTCCCTGTTTAATATCAAAGTGGTAGGCATTTTTCTACATGTATGATATCATAAGTAGAGAGAGAGAAAGAGATCGAGAGAGAAAAAATATAAAAAGGGAAACGGGTATTGAATGCAACTATTGTTCGTAATTAAAAACACACAAAAGAATTGTCATTTTTTTCATTTAAATTTCATCAAATTTGCCGCTAATAACGGTTTACAAAGAACATAGGTGTGTTGAGGTACTACGTGAGTCAATCGTGCATGTCAGTCTTTGGAATGCTGTATGTGTCATAAAAAATGAATTAAACAATAATCATTTTAGTGTGACGTTTGTTTCACGATTATACGATTGCTGTGATAATATAATGAGATTCTAGTTTCTTTTTTTCTTTTTTTTTTTTTTTTTTTCTACGAGTGCCATTCACTTCATGACGAATATTTTAAAATAATAATCATTATAATATGTCGATAGACTTGCGTATCTTTTATTAATAGTTCGTATTATCTTATTTTGATTTATTTTCTTAAAGCTTAAAGATGTAGACGATTATGTTAAATTAATTTGTTTCAATATGTCGAATCGCATGGTAGAAAATTAATAATAGTTTTAGCTAATATAATGATGCGCAATTGCAACTTAATATGATAATAAGACATAATTTGAAGTAGGTCTATTTGAATGCAACATTTGTTTGACTAAACGTGACAGTATTGTTAATTATTTTTGAATACAATAATAATAAGCACTTGTCTCTTATTTCTTTTTAAAAGGTGACTATTGATCTACCAGTTTCTATAGATCGTTATTCATAATGTATATTACTTTATAAATTTTATTTACTTTTTGTTTTTTTGGATTATTGGCTGAACTATTAATATAATGTTGACAATTGTATAATTGTTCGTGAAGCTTTTGATCAAACTTTAAAATGATTAATGCTCATGATGCACGATGTACAATATCAATTAACCTTTTTAAGTGAGTAGTTAACTTTTCAAAAACATAAATTTGTTATGTAATAACACTAAATGCATGAAGTACAAATTTGCACTTTATTTGATTATTAAAGAATAGGAATCTCAAATATATTCTTCAATATAAAAGAAACGAATGATATATATGGTATTTAAATTGACTTACATTGTCTTTAAAGTACCATCTCGTCATTTTTAATTAAATTGTTGTTAACATAATAATTAATAGACTATTCATTTTTGAATTACAATATCTACAATTATTGAAAACATAATTGTTAAAATAACATTAATTGAAAATTGTATATATATATAATTTCGTTTATTTATTATAGTAAAATTAAATAATATCACATATAGTAATTGGTAAGAAAAAAAAAAAAGAGTTTGACATAACATAATAAGGTAACTAAATTAATAAAATTTTTTAAAACTGTAATCTTCAATTTATTTTACTACAATGCATGACATATAATCTCTATAAAAATAAATAAACAGGAAGTTTAATACGAATTTATCTTGCGGTTTGTTTTAACTTAACGATACTATTTCTAAAGTGGTTAATTTTTATCCGGCTAATTGATATCATGTTGTGATTCTTACATATGATAAGCTATTTCCCCGTATAATTATTTCTATAATATAATACTACGTATTTGTACGCGTTCGCGAACGGTTGTGTGCTTAATTATTGCAAGAGAAATTAATTAATTAATTAAAAGAGTAAAGGCAAGAAAAAGAAAAAATGTTCGAAGTTAATAGAAGACGAACGTTACCACCTTCATACGCAAATTATCGTTATTCGACATACCTGGAGGAAGGTGTTGCTTTGTTAAAACTTTCTCCAGTATTAGAGGAGAATGTTAAAAAAAATAGGAATTCGTTGCAATCTTCCAAAATGTTGATTAACATCTCGCGAACTAAACCGGACACTTATTCGAAATTTAAATTCCCATGCCAACAACAAAAGAACAATTTTTTTCGTAATCAAATCGTTATACCACCATTGAATTCTTCAAAGATGATAAATTCGCCTAAAACTAATTTAATTCATTATAATAACGAAGGCGTTAAAAGTATGACGAATTTTATTGGAAAAAAATGTTACAACGTAAGATTTTCGGTCGTGTACGATCGATTAGAATCATTAATTTATTTAAAATGACTTTTAAGTAACATTTGATTTTTTTTTTTTTTTGTTTTTTTAATGGTTCTTCTATTATTACGTATAACACAAAAAATAAGTATTAATAATTTCAATTGAATTTAATGGAAAGAATAATAAATTGAAGATTTTTAGATTTCCATACTTACAATTAGATTATTATTCGTAATATTGTTAATACAACTGATAAATAAAATATCGATTATTGTTCCTTTTTATCCTAGCTTGGAGAAAAAGGTTCAGGTATCAGAATACGCGGTGAGATTCAAGATTTTAATGCGTTGAGATTAGAATGTCTTCAAAACGGACAACTTTTTGAGGATCCAGAATTTCTTGCTGCCGATTCGTCTCTGTACTTTTCCAAAAGACCGGATAGATACATAGAATGGAGGAGACCTATGGTAAGAATTGAAAAAAAAAGAAAAAAAGAAAAATTCGAATTACCTGTGAAAAATTTGTAGGAAATCGCGGACAATCCACAACTCTTCGTCGAAGGTTTTTCAAGATTCGATGTTCAACAAGGAGAGTTAGGTGATTGTTGGTTACTCGCAGCTGTTGCAAATCTTACCATGGATTCGAATTTGTTCTTTCAAGTTGTACCGGAAGATCAAAGCTTTGAGGAAAATTATGCTGGAATTTTTCACTTCAGGTTAATGCATTACTTGTTTTATTCGATTTAACAATCCTATTGAATTTATGACAAATTAATTCCATAATATTAGGTTGTATTTCGCATAAAACGAAAGGAAGGAATTTATGGGACAATCAAATGTATTAGATTTGATTGTTAATAACTTAGAATTTGTCTTTTTTGTTTAATAATCGAATACTTTGTTGTACTAACAAACATATATATCTGTGGTGTAGGTTTTGGCAATATGGTAGATGGGTGGACGTTGTTATTGATGATCGTTTACCTACATATAACGGTGAACTGATATACATGCATTCCGCTGAAAGCAATGAATTTTGGAGTGCTCTTTTAGAAAAAGCATATGCTAAACTTCATGGTTCTTACGAAGCTTTGAAAGGGGGTACGACATGCGAAGCTATGGAAGATTTTACAGGAGGGGTTACCGAGATGTATCAAATGGACGAAGCTCCGCCAAATTTATTCAACGTTCTTTTAAAGGCATTTGAAAGAAATTCACTTATGGGTTGTTCCATAGAGGTATGAACACACAACGTTTACACAACGTTTACCTTCGACATTTCGAATGATCAAAAGTAATCGAGTATTTATGCGCTCGTAAAATGTTTTCTTAATTTAGCCCGATCCAAATGTATTGGAAGCAGAAACCCCTCAAGGACTAATAAGAGGCCATGCTTACAGTATTACGCGTGTCAAGTATGTAGAAATTCAAACACCAAATCAATATGGCAGAATACCATTACTCAGATTACGAAATCCATGGGGTAATGAAGCGGAATGGAACGGTCCTTGGAGCGATAAGTAATTAATTATTGTATTAGTCATTACAAAAATAGTTTTAAATCGCTAATTTGAAGAATCAATTAACTTTTCTATCATGTAGATGTGTTCTATGAATTAATATTTCCGTTATTTACGTATTGTTTGTATATTACCATAGATTATATTTTTCTCTTTTTTCTTTTTTATTAATTTAAAACTATATTAACTGATAGGTCACCGGAATGGAGATTTATTTCTGACGATGAGAAGAGAGAATTAGGATTAACTTTCGACGTAGATGGCGAATTTTGGATTTCCCTTCAAGATTTTAAAACTTACTTCACGCAACTTGAGATATGTAACTTGAATCCAGATTCATTAACTGAAAATGATATTAATGCTGGAAAAAAACGATGGGAAATGAGCGTTTTTGAAGGGGAATGGGTACGCGGAGTTACAGCTGGTGGTTGCAGAAACTTTTTAGGTAAACATTTAAAAATAATTCATGAAGTCATGAATAAACTTATCCTATCGATATTTTTTTATATATTTTTAGAAACGTTTTATCATAATCCTCAATATCGAATAACATTGGAACATCCTGATGATGACGATGACAAATGTACTGTTATTGTTGCATTGATGCAAAAAAATAGACGAGCCCAACGAAGAATGGGTGCGGATTGTCTTACTATTGGATTTGCTATATACTATGTGTGTAAATGTGTTGGATTTTTGTATTTTAATTTATATCGTCAATTCGTGTTACAATTTTTGATGAGCAACCTTTTTTTAACAGTTAGAACAACCCGATAGATTACCAAAACCATTGGATATCAATTTCTTCAAGTATAATGCATCCGTAGCACGATCACCAGCTTTCATTAATTTACGCGAAGTTACCTGCCGATTCAAATTACCACCGGGTGTCTATTGTATTGTTCCGAGTACTTTCGATCCTAACGAAGAAGGTGAATTTTTACTAAGGATATTCTCAGAAAACAAAAATTATATGGAGTAAGTATTGATATTCAGATTGCTTCGAATATCTATGTAACATAATATACTTAAGAATATTTTTTTTTTCTTTTAAGGGAAAATGATGAGGAAGTTGGAATTGGAGAAGTTGATGATAGGGTAAGAATACGAAAGTTTGTTATTAAATATTATATGATTTAATGTGTGTGAATTTATATGTTGTATATTAAATATGCATTACTTAAGGATAATTATTTTGCTTACACAAAGCACATTTTCAAATTATGCTTTTAAAGATTAATCTTATAGACTTAATATAATATATATTACCTTTTTTGTTTTTTTTTTTTGTTTTTGCATTCAACTTAACATATTCTAATTAACAAATTTAATTTTAAAAAAGTATATACATATGCACATAATATTTGTCTAGACTCTTCTCTTTTTTAAAATGATCATCTACTAAAAATTTTATCCATGACTATTGGGTATCCTTAATGACTCATGTCTCGTTTAAAAAAAAAAGATTTCAATTATATATAACGTTATATCTGAGTCACGAGGAACGTTCGTGAAATCGAACATGCATGATCACGTTGCTTGGCTTTTAGGTGATTAATCCTAAAGGCACTAATACGGATGGGGATGATGAAAAAGTAAGTGAAACGCACGCAAATTGTAGTATTGCCTGACACTAAATAAAATTACCATTAAATTAATATTATTAACCTTGGATTAACAAAATATTTTAACACGTATAGATTTTATTTTTAATTTAGTCATGTGCTATTATCAATCATCTAATGTAATAGAATATATTTGATAAAATTCTATTTTGATACATAATAGATCCGTGATGAACCTGAACCTGATCGGAATGTCGAAAAAGTACGAGAATTCTTTAAAAAACTCGCTGGCGATGATATGGAAGTGGATTGGATGGAACTTAAAGAGATCTTGGATTTTGCAATGAGGAAAGGTAAATCAATAGAAAGATTATCTTTATGATCATTAGATCTTTTAAATAAGAGAACAAATAAATCTAAAGTAATATTAATAATAATTATTTTTTTTTTTTTTTTTTCTGGAGAAAAAAATTCAATTGTGAATATATAAATCCTTGAAATATTTATATCAAGTTTCGTTTCATCGTATTGTATTTTTTACGTGCTTGTTATTTCACTGCTTCCCCCACTGTAACTTGTGTGCTTGGGTATTTAACATCTTTTGATGACTTGTGTAATTAATGAACCTAATAATATTCATATCTAGCTATACTTATTGCCATTCGTTTTTCCACACAGTTTTCTTATATAACAAACAATAAGATCATTGATGATTTCATTAAATGCTTTTATTTTCTAGTGTTGTTTTCCCTCTTGACTCACGATACTTAATAAGTTCTATTATTTCTTTTAAATAAAATTAATTGCACTAAGAATACATGTATTATACAACATGAATTTGTTTTCTTTAATGTGCACGGCTGTGTTTTTTTGAATTGTTTTCATGTTAATCATATCTGCGACACATAAATACAATTGGGTCACTACAAACAAACAAAATTCAAGCTTGTTATTATTTTTAATTTCGCAACGTAATTTTACAAATGATATTAATTTATTATTACATTTCAAAAATGCACCTTATCGTTCAATATGTGATAATACATTTGAATTTTTACAAAATTGTCCAACTAAAATCTTATTTCTTATTGAACCAAGTTTAACAGCATAAAAGTGATTAAAACAACAACAACAACAATGTGGGTATCTGTAATACAATTGCATCATTAATTATGACAATGAAATTAAATTATTAATTTATTTGATGATTTATTTTGTAATACGAGTAATATTTTAATATAAAATAAATCATAAAATTAATGTTTATTATTTTGTAATTTAAGCCATTGTCATAATTATTGTACTATTACAAATAATTTGTTTCACCTAATGAATATTCCTCTATGACCCAAGTGTATATATGCAAACATTATTGTTAACATATAGCTGTATGTTACGGGTAGAGTTACCACAGTCGACGCGTCGTAGCGAGGCACATGAACCAGAATCAGTACAAGGAAATGATTCTTTTATCGACACTGTCATCTCACTGCTGTGCGGCATTGTTTGTAATAATGAACAATACAATAAATCTGTAGGTAAGGGGATAACTATTGATAAAATAAAATTGTTGTGTAACACATAAAACACAACACATGGTATAATATTGTCAATTCTATGAAGAATTGAAATCCACATATTGAGAAGAAAGAATTAATTATTATAAGATACCCAAAAATAAAATGTATATGGTTACGACGCTACGATAACAAAGAAAAAAATAAAAAAAATGCATGACAATAATTATTCAACATACATGCAGTACATGCTGCGCGCGTAATTAACAAATTGCTTAAATATATTTACATTAGAAAGCAGTTTGTATAAATGCCTATTGTATAGTCGCATCATCATTCGTGCAATTAACGTTTTTTTTTGTTCTTCATAATATTAATAATTTTATTCTTTTTATATTACCTCTTTTTATTATAAAGTTGTTTAACTTTTTTCTAAGATGAAATTATATTTACAGATACACAAGATAGAGGATTTTCTAAAGACGTATGTCGAAGTATGGTAGCTATGTTAGATGTAGATCATTCGGGAAAGCTTGGATTTGAAGAATTTAGAACCTTATGGAATGATATTAGGAAATGGAGGGTAAATTTATCTCTTTAATTCAAAAAAATATTCTATCCCTTCATTCGCTGTATTTTTTTAAAACATGTTTGTTATTTTATCCGTTTAGGCTGTTTTTAAATTGTACGATAAGGATGAATCTGGACATTTGAATGCGTTTGAATTGCGTCAAGCTTTGAATAGTGCAGGATATAGACTAAATCATCATATTTTAAATATTTTGGTACATCGATATGGAACTTCAGACGGTAAAATAATGTTTGATGATTACATAATGTGTGCCGTACGATTGAAAACAATGATCGGTAATTATTAATGTTTTTAAATGTGAGACGTTAAATAATGTAAAGAAATAAAATATAATAAAATCTGATGTTTTTTTTTTGCTTTTTCACAGATATGTTCAGGGAAAGAGATCCGGATCAAACTAATTCAGCAACATTTACAATGGAAGAATGGATAGAGAAAACATTATATTCTTAAAATATTGCATCTTATTATCGTTAATGCATTTTCCTCAATTATTTACGTGCCTTACATATTTAAGGTGTGCAGATAAATTCCTCATCGTTATTTTTTATATTATATAAAATTATAGAAAAAATTGGCATACATATATGCATTAATTGCCTATGAAGTTTGAAATATTTACATTCATATATAACAAAATAGGATTTTTATGCAGGTAATGCAATTATTCTGATTAATGGAAATATAAAAGCTCATATATTTTAAATGCCAAAGGATAATGAAGCTGAGAACTTATCGATACTATTATTTTTTTAGACATACTGATACGAATGCATTCTAACATTATTATATTAAATAACTATACCGTTAATACGAACAAAATAAATTTTTCTTAAGATTTGAGAAGCTTTAGTTTGATATATATATATATTATAATAGAATTTATAAAAAAAATGCTATATAAAATGAAATGAAATGAAATGAAATAAATTTATAAGAAACTAAATATACTTATTTCTTCTCGTATATAAATAATTTGAAATTCAAATCTTATATTGGTATAGCGTCACCCGTAAATATGACGCAAACATTACTTTCATTTGTCGTCAATATCTTATTTCAAAAAGAAGAGATAATTACACTTAAGAAATTATACTTATTAATATCTTATTAATATCTTATTAATGTTTCTAATATTATATCAAAAATTGAATATACTTTCCAATTAGAAAGTTGTAGAAAATTTATACAACTTTGATAAATGTTGTTTCGATATTTTTCTGATAATTGTACTTTCCAAATCGATTCGCTCGAAGGAGAAAAAAGGTAAAAGCATTTTATAAATGACTTTTCCGTCTCCGGATAGTGGTGTCATTAAGCGAAAGATTACTTCGACGAAGTGCTTATCGCGTTTCGCTATGCGACGATGACGATGATGACGACAACAACAACAACGACAACAACGACAACGACGACGATGATGCGGTAGTTGCATGGTTCGATGCACCCGGTGCTTTTTACGCTACTTCATTCACGAGCACGAGGTACCACTTTAAGAAAGGAAGACTAGAATCGCATGACAATTTTCTTATAAAATGAATTTTTATGAATGTAAATCCTCTTCTGTTCGTCGCGATGTTTCTCATACTTTAGAAAAAAAAAAACGTTGTTTTATTTTCTATAACAACAGGTTTGCCATGCTTCTCTTTTACATAAATCGTTGAATCGAACCAACTAATATAGTTCGTAATTTTGTAGGATGTATATGTAAGTTATTTGAAATTAAAATCATATCTAATCAAAAATCGGAATTACTATGCATCGTTTAATTTGAAAATATTAAAGATATTAAAATAGTTAATTGGATTGTAAGTATTTTATAAAATTGATAAAATAATGTACCGTAAGATTGATAATGAAAGATAATGTTCGAAGTTAATGACTACAAAATATTTATAAGGGTCTGACAATTGGTTTTTTTGTTTTTTTTTTCTTTTTTCAAATTGTGCCATTGAAAATTAACTATTATAATAAAATACTCGAGATGCCGATTATTCCGCTAACACGTGATCTGTAATATTATTTTACATTAGATATGATTATAATTGCAAATAATTCTTACTATATAAATATGGAAACCATAACAATTCTGGTATTAATTTAAACAAGAAAAAATATGTTACGAGTACTTATTAGATATAAAAATTATAATTCATTCGATGCCTTGATATTAAATAGATTGCATCAAAATCGTTACTTTTTATTCGACAATTGTCAGAAAAATGGACCATAGTCCTAGAAACTAATTGAAAATTATATCGAAAATTAACAGACGTACGATTATTACTTTATTGATAAATATTAAATTTGTATATTTATTGAACAATTAATTATATAATAATAATAATAATAACATAATTATATAATAAATAATAACAATTATTGAATCAATTGTTATACATCTAATATAATATGATTAATATATAAATTACGATTCAGAGTTCATGAAAATGTTTTTTACGTTTAAATTATTTGTTCAGATATTTTATGAATAGATACATAACATACTACGTTACTTTATACATATGTAGAAAGAGTGATAAAATAAAGGGACTATTGTAAGAGTGGAGGAGAGGCCCCTTCGTAGAAGAATAAAAAAGTAAAGAAGGAGAAAAGAAAAGAAAAGAAAAGAAAAAACATAAATCGTTAGAATGGTCGCAACGTGGCGCCTGGGAAAGGCGCGTTGCTTAGGTCTTATGTTAGAGAAAAAGACGCTTGGCTAGCGCGAAATAAAGGAAAATATAGAACAGATGGGCGGCCAAACTTGGCGTACCGTGGCATAATGATAACACGCTCGAATAATAAGGATAGCGGGAGAGGATACAGGGTTGGATACGCACGCGTGCCTCCGCCGTTTGGGGCCCGTCTTCCGCTTCCATTCCAACAAGTATGGTGGTGGGGTGGTGGTGGTAATGGTGGTGGTGGTGGTGGTACACTATGCTTCTAACCACGACTAACATAGTTCAGTCTTGTCTAGAGAACACGACCGACAACATTTATCATTTTTTAACGTAGATATCATTTTTGTAATCACATTTATCATAACAACGTTTAATATTTTGTTATTTAAATTTGTTTAATCGAAAACAAACAAATGTAAAGTAAAGACGATTCACAATTTAAAGAAAAGAAAACCAACTCGCGCCAAATAATCGCGAATTATTTGAATTCAATATTTGTTTCTCTATTTTTCTTTTTATTTTTCAAAAGTGTCTCGTGTTTTATTCGTACAAAGGAGTTAGTGTATCCAATCAGTGAACTTGCTTATTATCTAGTTAAACTCGTTTAAATATATAATTTATATGTACGCGATTTATCTATAAAGATACGATCTCATATTTTTTTTATATTTATTATACGTTTACTTTTGTTGTTGTTTTTTTTTTAAATATCTATGCGAACACGATATATTTTATAATAATTGTTTTATTAATCATTGAGTGATATTTAAATAAACATGATTCGGATAATAGAATGAACAATAAACGGTGAAGTCGAAGTGGCGCGGTTTTCATCGTTCGAACGAAGATGAAATTCCCGCGCGTCCCTTCGACGATCCTTCGTTTAACGATCGTCATTGAAATTGCGATCGTCGTAAGGGCACAGCAAAGATTCAAGGAAGTACCGGCTATTTATCAAGAAGTATCGGCTGGTCACGATGTACAATTACCTTGTAAGGTGCAAGATAAAAAGGGACAGTGTATTTGGCAAAAGGATCGTAAACCTGTCGGAATATATCCGGACAAATACGAGTGGTTTAGTTTACGTAGTAACGATTGTACTCTTTTGATTAGAAGAGCATCTCTCGAATTTGACGATGGTTTTTGGGAGTGTCAAGTTACTTCCGGTGATTTTATGCGACAAGATGCATTGACATCATTACCTGCACGTCTACTCGTTCGAGGTATTAAACAAATATTTTTAATTACATTCCTAAGGATACAAGAATTATATTTATCTTCAATTAAAATTTCAATTGATGATTGATATAATACAGAAATTGTTTTGTATTATTTTCTTTTCTTTTTAATTATATAATAATTAAAAAAAGAAACATTAAATATCTCGGTTAATAAAATGTGTCTATTTCGAATTTGATAAGATTTAATAATAATCTTATAAGGGGTGAAATTAAACGATATTAAATTTACGCGCGAAATTTAAATCTATAGGAAAATAAGATGTTACGCTTCAATCGAATGCTGTTACACATGTTACACACACACATACATTAGCGATGAAATAAATGTTTTCTAAATTCACTTTAAATTCGTTCAAGACGGACAAGTTCGTGGTTCCGTTCTACTTTTACTGGTATCTTTTAAAGAATCGCATGTAATTGAAAATTCATGTTCGGTGAACGTTTAAATCTCTCGGACTACGAAAGACACACTTCCGTTATACGGAGATTGATGAATACTTTTTCAAAAGTAACCCAAAAATCTCGATAAGTAAGACAAATTACTGTTTTATCTGACTATCATACTACTTTTTAAATTAGATTATGGGTTAGACTTTATCAATAAACGTTTATTCATTTCTAATGCATAACAAACAAAATGATTGTTTCAGTTAAACCGAGAAAACCGAGTTTGGAGTACGGGGGTACGATTTTAAATACCTCCCTAACGTTGAGGGAAGGACAGGAAGTGACGATTTCCTGCGTATCTAGATATGGAAATCCGGTAGCCCTTATAAAGTGGTGAGTGAATAATAATAATAATAATAATAATAATATATAATAATACTTACCTTTGTTTTAATATTTTATTTTTAATCTATTAACTTTTATACATTATATCTCGTATTTGCCAATATATTGTTAATTTAAATTATTTGCTTAGGTATGTTTATATTTAATAGATTTGAAACAATTGTCTTTTCTTTACGATTTACGATTTATAAAAATAATTAACAAAATGATCGAATTATATTATATTATGTTATAATTCATTTAATAGCAATTATGTTGAATATTTTCAAACAATACTTGCAACATTCTTTTACACCATACTCTTATTCGTAATATTTAAATCTCTAGATTCGACAGTGACCGAAATGTTACAGAATAATCTAAAAGCTTAATGCTTTTCGAAGTAGTTAATCTTTTAAGTGTTCTTCGAGCGTTCCTTCAGACCATTAGCGAGACCCTCGAACATGCTTTTAAAGATACAACATTTTCTTCCTATGACGAATGCATCGAAGATAAAGGAAAGAAAATAAGTAAAAGTTTTGAAATAAAAATAAAACTCACAACGTGCTAATAGATTGATATTATTTTAAATTATACCATTAAACGTTGAGAGCTATTTGTAAAATTTGTCAAATCAATTTTTATACTTTTAATTGACGTGTTAAACACACGCGTCGTAATGTTTTTTCTTAGACGAATATAAAAGAATGTTAAGTGGTTGCATTTTCGCGGGGATGCAATTTAAACTTATAAACAGAAAAATATTATAAAAAAGAAAAAACTAATGTAAGATTTCTCTTTATTTCTTTTTTTCTTCTTCTAATAACAAGGAACACACATATTGATTATATTTGCATAGAAAAAAAATGTGACCGTAATTTATAGCAAAACCACGAAACGTTTTGCTTATACCGGACAAAGCAATTCTAGAGAGTTCGTCTCTTTGGTTTCACGGTCTAATGCATTTAGTTGCATCTTATTTGATTGTTCTTTGAAGATAATAGTACTAGAGAAATTGACGTTCATTTCTTTTATATATATATATTTATATATTTTCTTTTTGTATACAAGGTGTTTCATATTATGCGAAAAATATTAAATATTATACAAGATTATATAAAGAGACTATACATACGAATAAAGTTTATACAGTATGAATAATAAAAGCAACAGATAAATCAGAATCAATATAATTCATAATTTAATAAATAAATAAAGCAAAACTAAGCTCGATTAAAAATTATCATTATTAGTATTAATAATATCAATGCCTTTAGCAGTCAAAGAATTAATCTTTTTCTATGCCATTTAATATGAATAACCAAAAGAAGCATACAACTTAATATTTTCCACGTAGTATGAAACACCTTGTATATATATAATTATGTAAACGATCCTAGTGCTTAGAAAAAAAAGAAAAAAAAAAAAAAAATAGTAAAGAAAAGATAAAAGAAACAAAATTACGAGCATCGTTTCACGGTACTGTGGTGTTTCTCGGTCGAAATGGCAAAACGATTTAACGACGATAAAACCAAAGACGAGAATGATGATTTCTATAGTACGGTAGTGAATAATTTTCTTCTCGTTCTTTAGCTTTATGAATTATTTATTGATGGAAAAGAGAACGATCATCATCTTTCGTTGATACAGGTTCATAGGAGATGAGGAAGTCGAACCACTGAGAGAACAAATGAACGCCACCGAAGTGGATAATCCTAAAACTTGGGCAGCTCACAGTCTTTTACGGATTCGTGGTCGTCGAGAATATCATGGTCGAATGATTCGATGCATCACCATTCATCCATCTAGTCCAGTACCAGCTACTGCAGAATCTCAACTGAATATCCATTGTATGTTTACAATTTTTTATTCTTAAATATATCTACTACAAATGTACATAAATAATGCAATCTAGGTGTAGAGAAATTAATTGGTTGCCTTGATATATATTAAATACATTGCATCAAAATCTCATCGCATTTTGTTACGTCAAGAAAAAAAATTCGACAATTGTCTGAAAGATAAATTAAAATTTATCGAAGATAACGAAGACTATTTCGAATAATAACAACGTATATTGCATACGATTAATTTATAAATAAATATTAAATTATTTTGAAAAGAGGGCACACCGCGAATTATTTGCTACAATTAATATTTCAATGTTAATCAATTGTCTTGTCGTTGAAAATATTCGTTGAATTCAATGAATTATTACTTTTACTTGTTTTAACCACTTTTTTAAACGTTACAGATTCTCCAGAAGTGAGATTTCAAACGAGCCCTCGATGGCTGACAAGCTCGTTGGAGGATTCGGCGAGTTTTATGAATTTAAAATGTATTGCGGATGCTAATCCGAGTGCTATGATCAAGTGGTTCAAAGATTCGACTCCTATAAGTGACGATAATATTTTATTACTAACAGAGAACAGAACCAACAGTAATAACACCTCAACAATATCCGAATTGAGATTCGAACCGGTTAAGAGGGATGATGCTGGGCTTTATTCCTGCAAGGCTGTTAACATTATCGGTGAAAGCCCACAGGCTAATTATGCACTCGACGTTCAATGTTCGTACAAATTACAAGTACTTTTTTTTCCACGATATTTTCGAAATAAATCATTCAGTTTTTATTTACAATTTATTTTCGCGTTATCATCCTATCTAATCAAACCTATATAAATCAATTTGTTTTAATGCAAGTTCGTATATAAAATAACAAACGTTGTAGAATTACCAAACATATAATTGCATGTGAATATATCGTAGATATAGTTTCGATTTATGTAGATTAGATGTGAAAAGAATAACAAGAGGCCTATAGATGGTTGACAATTAGTTGTCGGAACGGTCATCATACAAAAGATTTGGTTTCAATTTATAGCCTATGGGAAAACTCGTATTGTATTTTTATGTTTTTATTCTGTAGGGCATTGTAATTATGTGCATAGATTATAAAGCTTTATATATATATATATATTCGTATATAGTCCATTGATCTATTATTTAGATATAATAATTAGGCGCCAAGTTATGCAGAAAGTTGTTACCCTTTGATGATCTCTATTGTTTTTTAATTAATTTCTTATAATTTCATAGATTTTTTTCTGCATAACTTACATATTAGTCTAATTGGAAAAAAAAAATAAATAGAAAATTTCTACGGGATATAATTATCGATAAGTATATTATTAGCGATGATATTTTTGTCTTGAATTTATTATTACATTGTTGTTCTAACAGTTGCACCACGAGCGAAAAGAATGGAAAATTCTAATGATAATGAAACCCTGATGGAGATAGAAGAAACAACACAACTTGGTTCAAACGTGGAAACGTTCGAATGTCCAGAATTTGAGGGTAATCCAATACCACGTTACAAGTGGATACATTTGCGTGGTGGTACAACCGAAAAGACTATTGAGAATCCAACTCGTGCTAAGGATTCTGGAAAACGTTTACGTCTGGAAAATGTCATGTGGTCGGACGAAGGGGAATATCGTTGTATAGCATTTAACATGATAAGTGGAACGAAAAGGGAAACGCCTAGCGATGTACGTTACATGTTACACGTTACCGGACCTCCAGAGATACAAGCCAGACCGTCCAGTTCCGGTAAGAATGGGACTTATGAGTCAATAGGATGGGCCGGTGAACCCGTGCATCGATTAAAGTCTCGCTTTTGTTCTCGACCACCACCTCGACTCGTTGCTTGGCAATGGGGGAGTTCTCATATTAGAGCAGGTAATATATACATTTTCAATTGTACAAGAGTTCAATAAAATTCATAAATTCAAATATATATATATTACAATGTTAATAAATTAATTTATTGAGAGACGTCCGAGTTATTATTAGATGAATTTTTGTAAGTTTGTTCAAATTTCTTATTTATTTTTTAGGTGAAAGCATACAACCAAAATACGAAGCGTTACCGTTAGAACCGATTATCGAAGATAAGATAGTAACGAATTGTTATTGGGCTAAATTGGAGATCAAAAATCTCCACAAAGAAGACTCACGTATGTATACTCTTTTAGTGGAAAGTGAAAAAGGTAGAGATTCGACGAATATCAAATTGATTATTCGCGATCCATCGGAAATGAAAGTGATCGCTGCCGCTTCGGCCATTGGTTTGTTGCTCCTACTCCTTTTGATATCGATAGGAATTTATTCAATGTTAAGAATAAAACAAAGACGGTATAGATGCGAAGAAGACGAAGGTAGTATAGCAGCTGATGCTCTTTATGGTAATAATGCTTCGATGGATCGTCAAAAAACAACAAAAAACTTATCGGTGAATAAAGGTTCTCCGAGTAAATCAACACAAGACGGAAATTTAGCAGTTCTATACGATTACGATCAAATAGCAAAACAAGCTCGAACTATGAGTCCAGAAGCATTGAAAGTCAGAAGGGCTCCGGCTGTTTTACAACCTCCCACAATGGTGTAATCGATTGAAACATTCGTTTTTTAAAGAAATTATTCAATAAATACGTTGTATGTTATATACATCTACTGTTGATTATATTATTAAGAGAACAATGAAAATTTTTAATGTAAAACGACTGCTATTATTTACAATTAAGTTTTTGTTTTTTAAAGAAAGACTTTATTAAGAGAAAGTACTTTTTATATATCAATGTACAAAGCAATATATATATATACATATGTCGTATATTTTTTGTAATCTATTGTCAACAATAAAGTTTCCCTCCGGAAATTATTGAAAATATATTTAAATGAAAAGGAATGATATTGATATAGGATTAATAATTGACATATCGCATATTTCGAATGCTAATTATAACATCGATTTCTTTGACGTTACAAATATTCGTCTATTAAATCAAAAAATACAGAAGTACATAGAAACTCACAAGTTCCATTTTTTATTTAATCAGATTCTTCTTCGTTACTACCGGACCACCAGTGGACAAAAGTAGGTACTTAACACGACAATGGTACAATACTATCAAAGAATACTGTATTATTTACTACAAAGAATACTGTGTATTCTTTGATAGTATATTGTAATAAAATTTTAAATAATTACATTTAATTTTTAATGTATAAACATGTGTGTGTGAATGCATTTATACATATATTTTAAAAAGTAGTCATTTAAGAAGTTCAAATAGAAGAAAATCTCATAGGTTTGTTGTTAACAAACAATGTTAAATAGTTATTAACATACTTTAAATATTAAATATTATATATATTATAGGTACATTTTACCCTCGCGAAGTCATCACTGCGCAGGGTACTGTATTCTGTTTATAAAAAAGGTACGAAGAACCTTTATTTCAAAAGAGTATTCTTTATATATTATTATATAGTATTTTATTCTATATTGATTTCGAAACGATTCCAAAATCTTTTTTTAATTCTTTCATATAATTGATATTTTACTATTTATCATAGTTACATTTATACATATCATTGATTTCTACTTAAGCATTTAAATAAATAGAACAGCTACATATCTTTCATACTCGCACGCATTTCATAATTTCGGATAGGAAATTATGAAATAAAAGTCTAGATTTTGTAATTTTAATTTTTGATTTATTTTGTGTTTTATATAATGTAAGATATGAATTTTTTAAAACATTAAACTAAACTAACAAATATTAAAATTATAGGAATCATCCCTGATTGATATAATATTTGTAAATAACTCGAATTACCATCAATCGATAATTTATAGTAAAATATCGATATGATTATATCGAAAGTGACTACAACGACATCTTTGAATTTCGATATGTTTATAACTATTAAGCCGGAAAACATACTTTGTATTTTTGTATTAAATTAATTATTGTGATATCTTGTGTATTTAATAATAACGTAATATATTGTTGCAGTGTTATTTATTAATTATAAAATTAATTATTAAAAGCAACATTATTAATGTTAAAAGCTACGAATCGTGATAAGATATTTTCTATTTACGTGTTGAATACGAATCATAACCTTAAAAAAACTAATTATTTAATATCAGTTCACGTGGTAATTAAATAAGTAATTATTTTTTAAACAAATTTTAATTATTTTAATCATTTAAACTCAAATCATTTATAATGGGTGAAAGAGGGCATTTTTTTCGTTCTCTGATATATCGTGTTTTTAGTAATTGGACAGCATTAAAAGTACGTATTTATTTCTATGATTTTTTATTTAAACAGTTGTTTTATATACTTTTTCGTATCTTTTTATATTAACTTTATAAATAATACTTTAATTTGTTAAAATAATAAACTATATAAAAATATATATATGTATAAATATAAACATATATGTATATGTATAAATAATAAGCTATATAAAAATTTTCATTTTAGTTAGCAGTTGAAAATGATATGGGAACCACAGCAGAGGTCCATCAATTTTGTCAATACGTTGCAAATATTTTGACTGAGACCGGTATATATATATTGCTATGTATATTCTAAAGTTAATATGTAAAATATTAAATATGCGATATCTCTTTAATAGATACTCTTTCTTTTTTTTTAGAGAATTTGTGTAAAAGTGAAGTTGAATGTATACTAGAAGATTACATGGAAGATGTATTTAATACCGAACTTCAAGATTTCAGTAGCCAGCAAATAGCCGATGAATTGTATACATTTTATTTTAACTACAAAGTAGGCAATGTAACGCAGGCCGAGTCAGAGCTTCAAAAATTACCACCGGTACAACCGTGGGTTTTACAACCAAATTTACTTACCCAAATTAATAAGAAACTTACTAAGATTGAAATTAGAAGTGATTCTTCTGAAAGCGATGAAAAAGAAGAAAGTATGGAGACTGAATTTTCTGGATGGACAGTAGTTAAGTCAGGGAGAAAAAAATAATCTTTAATGATTCGCTGATATTTGCACATTATAAATTTTTATTTTAAAAAAAGAAAGAAAGACATTTATACTATTATACTCTTAATATTCTTCTTGCATCGAAGTTACAGATAGTCAATTTCTTATTTATTCAGTCTTTGCAGTAGTTGAAATACTTAATTTTCTCGTCCACCTCCTGCATCTGTAAACAAAATTAATGCAAGTTAACAAAATGGTCGAAACTATAGAAACTTGTTATTAATATTTTACCATCGCTGTTGATTAATACCTTCTGCTTTGTTTGGTAAGTGAACAGTGTAATATCCATTAGCTTCTTTCATATCGCATTCCTTTGGAGTATTATTTGTTACTTTTCTTTCGTTTGGTCCCAATAGGCTTAAAATAATAGGTAAAAATAACAGTCCATGAAACAATCCGAATGCTACCACAGCAGTAAACAACTATAAAATAATAAAAATTTTATTTCTTTTGTCTTTCTTTTCTTTTTTTTTTGTAAGAATTTATATAATAATATTTTTTTCATGTAATGTATGTAAATATTAAATTGTACCTTAAAGAAGGTACTAAAGAGATATGCTTTACTAGAAGCTAATAAAATAAATGCAAGGAAAGTACTAAAGCCTCCATTAAAAACAGGTGGCCCGATAATCTTCAATGTTGCGATCGCACGCTCTGTGTAATAAAAAAATTTTTAATCGTTTACAAAAGATTCTCCGCTATAAATAGATACTCCAACACACATACCATTTTTGGAACCTGTTCTTCTTATAAATTCTAATCCTACGTGTGAAGCATAATCTACTGCTAATCCAATACAAAGTAGAACAAGAATACTAGATGAAATTTCAACAATCAATCCTAAAAAGTGCATAGAACCTAAAAGATCTATCAGTGTAAATATTACACAACTAATAACCCAAAATGATGCTAGTAAGTTTCTCAATAAAAGTATTGTTACTAATCCAATAGCTACTATTGCTAAACTCAAGTTCCTGATTAATTCTTCTCCGATTATCTGCAAAATAATAATGTTACTATAAAAATTCAAAATTCATATTTCATTAACCTTGTTAATGCTGACTATGAAAGATCATATTTCACTTACCTTGTTAGCTGACCATGATACATATTCTGGGGAATATATGACTACATGAGAATGAGACAAATTAGTGATCTCTATTAATTCACTCATAGATTGCATTGCTTTTATTTGATCCGATGTTCTATTAACAAGTACATGTTGTATTGGAATTCTAGAGGACTGAAGCATAAAAAGAAAGTTTAAGTATGCAATAAAATACAGTATACAGCAAAACAAACAATACTGAATGTTGCATATGAGCATTGTGCAAAGGGTTTAATCAGAATTCCATCAGAGATGTTACTTGCACATTTAAAACTCGTGCTGTACTGATGCAGCTTAATATGCGTTTCTGTCGTCACCTACCTATTATAATTTTAATATTCAGAACATATTTGTAATTTCAGTATTGTTTTTTATACTGCATACTGTATATATTAATCTTTACGAAAAGATAATTTTAATGAAAATAATTACATACCGTTATGTTATAATCATCAATAGGTAATTTGTCAAATTTAATATCTTTTATATGTGCTTGGCCTTCCATAGTTAGCAATAAATATTCCGTAAGGACACCATAATATTCATCCTTACTTTCAATATAATGTGCTATAGGAAAAATAGTATATATATATATATATATATATATATATATATGTACATACATTTATCAAAATGTTTTATCGAAACATATATTTTTTTCTAACAACGTACCTTTATTAGTATTATTCAACCACTTATCATATGCTATAAACCATGGATCCAAAATATGATTATTAATAAAAGAATTGTTCTTCAAAGTATCGACCAATCTAAATAAAGAATCACGATCTTCGTAATAGTCTACATCGGTAATATAAACGGCACCGTGTTTACCATATGCAGGAAAATATTCCTTTAGCTTCTCGTTAAAACGTATTGGATAAGAATCTTGATTTAAGTACAAGAGTGGATCGAAGTCTTGCTCCAACTGAAATATGGCCCAAATATTGACACACACGAGACACACCGTGATCGTTATTACGACAACTTTAACATAAGTTTTCATTAGAAACGGTCCGATGTAATTCTCGAAGATGATCTGTTGCAGATTTCGTTTACTGCATTCGTTACGTTTCCATTCCGATCTTGGCCGACAACAGCAGCCTTCTCTTTTATTTTCTAATCGTCTCTCATCGTATACCAAACAACTAACAAAAAAAGTCAATTCGAATATATATAGAAATAATATTCCCATAGTTGCAAACATGCAAAATGATTTGAGAAATGGCATCATTGTCGTCATGCCAATTCCAAAAGCAACTAAATTGGTAAAAGACGTCACAGTAATGGACATTCCTGTTAACAAACAAAAAAATACAAATTCGTGTAGGGGATTAAAACGATTATTTATATGATCTATTTAAAAGTATTAGCTTTATCATGATCATCATTAGCGTACCTGCGTGTTGAACAACTTTGGCGATACGCAATGGAATTTCTAGAGCTTTATCACTCTCCGATTGCATTTCAAGACTATGCATTATAACGAACATGTCGTCAACGCCAATGCCAAGTAAAAGAAACGGTAATACACGATGTAACGGCCCGTAAAAGTACCCTAAATAATAGCATACTCCGTAAGAAGATATCAATGCTTGACCAACAACGGAAACACCCATTAAGGAAAGGTACAATCTTTGCTCTATGGCATTACATTTGCCGATCATGAACAATACATAAATGGTAATTAATGATAATCCGCAACATAATATCGGCATGTTATTCATCATAACTTCATGTAAGACATCCTTAAAACTTCTCGATGAAACCGCATATATTTCCATGCCCAAAGGTAGACTACGATTTCCATTGAGTACACGCTCGATAAATTCCAATTCCCATTCGGGAGAATAAGGATTGGATTTTTTTAACATCCAATTCAATATCGTTGCTTTTGCAGATTTCACGTTATTCATTTCGTCGTATTCGATATCCGATAACAACGGTACGACATTGTGCAGTATGTGGTTTTTAGATCTGGACATAATGATATTTTGTTTTCTTTTTTTTAAACACGTCAAATTTTATTTAAAAGAAAAAAGCCGAGAAAGATTTCAATGCCAATATAATGATAGTAATATAAATATCTTTTATCGCGACAATTTGTTCAAACATTTTCTATATAATTTCGAAGAATTCAACAGAGAAAAATAGTAAAAAGAAATTCATGGTAATAGTTCAGTTTTTTAACAGTCTTTGCTTCCCAGTTTGCTAGCCATTTCACGTTCTAGTAATTTAATTCTTTCAAACTGTTAAATGATGATCGTTCAAATCAGAAAGGACGAATTATTTTATTCTAAGTCTAAGAATAAGAATTTTCTCATGAATATATATATGTATATATATATATATTAAAACCCTTATTAATTTTTATATAAAATACGCGTATATATGTTAATGTTTCAACAGTTTTCGAATGTTCACACGTAATTGCTTCAAAGTATTATTAGTATTATTGAAAATAATCTTCGCGAGTTGCATTGAATTTATTTTGATAACAAAACAAAAAAATAAATATGTAAAATAGCGCATATATTAAACTCACTTGTCTCTTACTGCCTTCGTGACGTCTCTCAATACTTTTTTTTTCGTTAACGCAGATATATCGTCTCCTTGCCAGAGTTTTAAAAGTGATTGATATATACATCCATCCTTCAGCATTGTTTGGTTCAAATTCTTCATTATTTCGTCGGAAAATTCGTAATTGTGTACATCTTCGAACAGCAAATGTTCATCCTCTTCGAACCACGTTAAAAAACTATTATAATGATAATAATAATAATAATGACGACAATGTTTCGTATTAAAAAATCGATAATATATCGTTCGATATTATTTACAATTATTTCTATCAAACGATACTTTTCGTATTTCAAATTGATATTTATTCTACAAGGATGATTATTCCTTCGCAATTAATTTCTTGGTAAAAATTAATTCGATGATATTATTTTTTCTCATCCAACTTATTGTGGATTTAAAGAAGATTTTGGTCGAAATAATTTAAAATATATACAGGACAGATATTCACTCACCTTGCGCACACGTCCTTCCATGTATGATTTTTCACCACTATATTTTTAACTTCGTTCTCGATTTCACTGATCTACGATTGTAAATTGTATATGTCACATACGAATAATACGTCTAATCAAAGAACGAAATTATATTATAGATCTTCTTTTATATACCGATTGTAACACTTCTGGTTCTAAAACGTTCGGTGCAGTAACGATGATACTTTCATATCTAAGATCATCCCTAAAATGTTTTTGAACCCAAAGTGCATCTGCTCGTACTTTCGAATTCATTGGCAAACAAAGTTCAACATCGTCTACTTCTTCTTTCCAAAATATCATTCCAGGACAACATATGCAATTGATGATCAAGGACACGATTAACCAAACCCATGGTTTATTTCCTATGCTTAGGCCAATTCTGAAATGAAAGTTATCTGGCCAAGTGATCTTTCGTATTATTTATAATTAATCTTTTCTTTTTCGAACGTATAAAAGTTCAATTATCTAAACACACATTCACACACGCAGACACGTTGAAGCATTGGTATGGATGAAGGATTATGTGTGTATGTGCTTTAAGAGTACGACGATTCATAGAACGACAAATTATCTTTAATTCGGTTAATTAAAATATGCTCTTGTACAACGAACTACGCCCTTAAACTTCAACATTATATATTTCTTATATATATATATGAATATAATTTATATAAATTTTATATTGAAAAAATATCGTCGATCTCTTTCAAAATAATATTCATTCCTTCGTCCAAGTCTCTCTAAAGTTCCGTCAAGGAATTGAAATTCATGACAATTTACTTGTTAAAGTTCTTCGTATATCTAAGTATCATTATGTTCAGTCTCTTATCGTTAGATTCAAACACTTTTAAACGATATTACGTTATAAGAAATATTCATCAATTTTATTATTAATTATTTATCATTATAGTAATAAGCTATCGTAACAAATGCATCTCACTTCGTGATAGATTAAAAACGTAATTTCTAAGTTAATGTATGCTATTAGAAACTTGTTTTAAAAAAGACACACACACACATGGTATTCATTAGATAATATATGAAATTAAATAAAAAGAACTAATTTTGTGACTTATCGTATAAGAATAATATCTAGGACAAACATTATAATATCTTTTTATAATGTTAAATTGTATGTAAAATCTGAATAATTTAAATTTATAATAAAAACAGGGTCACACGACGGATTATGAATGCATCGTATCAACGTATCTAACTCGTCTTTCTTTCAAAGACAAAAAATAAAAAAAATATAAATGATAATTCTAAAGATTAATTTTTTGAAAATCATTTAAACTCACCGATAAAATAATTGATCGGGATTTAAGTGAATATCAATAATTGATTTTTTCAAACGTTTCCATATTAGATTAATGGTCGAACTCTTGGTAGAATCATTTTCCATGATGGCATCCAATACGCGTAACCAATGGCTACTATTGTTCGTTCACTCTTTCGTTCACTCTTTCGTGTCGAAATGTTGACTGAAGAGTAACACGAATTTTAACGGGAGTAAAACACACGAGAGCAACCACGATGGGCATGCATGTGACGAACTACGACGACGACGACGACGACGATGGAAGTAATCTACTACAATTATATAACTCTCGCGTTAGTCTCTCTCTCCTCTCTTTCATCTTCTTTTTTCTTTCTTCTTCTATTTCTCTCGCGTTTCATTCCTACGGACGTTGGTTGCTGGGTCTCCTATCCCGTACCCCCTGAAGAGGATTCAACGCGAGAATTAATAACTACGTGTATATAATGATGTAAGATTTATATTATGTCCATTATTTCATTTGGTTTTTTTAATGAGGTATAATGATATAGAATTTACAAAAAAAAAGAAAAATCTTTAAGTATCTAATATAATCGTGTCAATTAATAATTAATATTCGTCGTGTTTTTTGTGTATTACTTTAAACGTCGTAATTTCCAAATCACAAGACTGTAAATGACCATCCCCGGTTTGTCTTTGCGTTGCTTATATGTATTACTGTCAAAGCCGGAAATCAGTCATTGCAAATAATTCCTCGGGATTACTATGAATGCAAAGAGTCTTCAGACGAAGTCGGAAATTGAAAACTTCTTCCAGTTTTTCCTAGGAATCGAACATAATACTTTGATATTCTATAGAGAATATCAAATTACTATTTGAACAACGTTGAAAAGAATACATTTTCAAGCACAAACACACACAGCTACAGGCAATAAATTTAGCATGTAAAGTTCAGAAAATGACAGAGAATTCAATGCTGTAATTTGTGCATCTTTGCAATTTCTATGAAAAGTTTTGGTAAATATTTTTTATACTAAAAGTAAATAGATTTTAATAATACTTATATTAAATTAAAGTACACTCTTTTTTCTACGCGTAGAATACTATATCGAGTTATAAATTAATTCGCAAAGATTCGTAAAATGTCAGAGAATGCAATGCTGTAAATTTTTCCTACTTTGCCATTTCTTTGAAAAGTTTCGGCAAATATTTTTTATACTTAGAGCAAGCGGATCTCAATGATTTTTATATTAAAATAAAGTGCACTCTTTTAGCTACACGTAGAGTACCATTTTTCGCGTAGTAAATCAATCTGCAAGGGTTCATAAAATGGCAAAGAAAAGTTGGCGGATTAGGCAATGTGAATGATGCCTAAAACTAGGCATTGTTAACATTGCCGGGGGAGGTTTGGAACCTAGGCCGGCACCTAAAACGACACCTTGTAGTTTGGGATCGTAGTACGTGGATCGGTCAGTTTAAATCCTATTCGCATTTGTCCTCATTTATATCGTTTATGGAGGTTAAGCAAATCTCTAAATCCGCGTTATTCATCGATGAAAGATCAAATATATACAGTGAATTCGCTGTATAATACACGTCAAAGAAAAGGAAGTAGGTCTTTCGCGGCAAGTAACCGTTATTTGGTTACTGCATTGTCAAACAAACTATTTTCATTCGTTTATCTCGCGAACTACTATGATTCCTTTCCTTCTACTCTTGTTGTAAATGCACTTTACTTATTGTCATTAAGTGTATTTACTTATATAATTTTCACAACAGTTATACCATTCACGGAACAAATCATTATTCAAGAATTTTGAACAAATTGAAATATTGATTTTAGTCAAACAATTCAGAACATTGTAATCATTTTTTAACAAATACTTTTAACGTTAAACTTATCGATACATCGTATATATATTTATTTCTCTACCTTTGCAAACAAAACAAAAAAAAACAATACATATACTTTAATATATAAATATGATTTTTTAGTCTCTCAATTGGATAACGAATAATATATTTCCTTTGAAATTAATAATATGTATTTTATGCAAATTACAGGATACGTGCATTTGACCTTAAATGGTAAATTTTAACATTAATAATAGTAATCCTTCATATTATTAAAAGATAATATATACGCGAATAATGATTTATTCTAATAGGGTAAATAACAATTAACGTGTTTCAAACAGTGAACTTGATTAACGTAACATTAAACTTTAAACGTGCATGCAACAGGTGATGTAAAAGTAAAGAGGGGGGACGTGTGGCTAGTAAAGTAGGGGGGTTTCGTAGCGAATGCCTTTCTCATTATCTGTGGATCCTCTCAGTTTTCCTGGTCCCTTTCCAACCGATGGACGAATTATAATACTCACCTCGTATTTATCACACTATTCATGGTCAACCATTGAAATAACGTAAGGTGTGTGTGAAGATCAAGAGTTTAATAAATATTATCATAATAATAATAATAATAATAAAAATAACAGTTTAAACGGTGGGTGTTCATTTAAAAATTTTTCACGGTTCGTTATTCTTCAATCGTGAGATTATCTGCACGAAACAACGTAAGTTAACAGGGCCTCTTTTTTTTTCTAAATACTTTTATGAAATAATCGCAAAAAAAAAAACAGAAAAGAACAAATTTGTATTGTAACAAAAGAAAAAAAAATAATCCATTTCCATTCCGGAAGGAGGACACGAATCAGTCGTGAAAGTTGTTTTTGCATTTGGTTTTATAAATCTTTACTCAATTTCGGTCGAGCGTTGAATTAGTAATGAATTAACGGTTTTTAGAAAGCCATCATAGCCATCTAGAAACGAATACGTCAGAATGCATTATCCAAGAGAGAGAGAGAGAGAGAGATGGAAAGAAATCATTATATCATTAGATAAAATATACATTCGTTATTTGTTAATTAATCACAGGTGCAATTCATCGTTAAATTCGATGAACAAATAAAACGTCTACGCAAGTGTGTGTTTCAAAAGATCAATCTATTAAAAAATATCTTTTATCTTTTTTTTTCTTTTATTTTTTCCCTGTAGTTTTTAATATTTTTTTTTACAGATATATTCGTGCAACGTAGTAGAAAAAAAAGGTACAGTAACGTTTGCACGGGACCACCGTAATCTTCTTCCTTTTTCTTTTTTCTTTTTTTGGTTCACCATGATAGCATACTTTCGTTTGGGCGTGAAACAATCTTCGTGAATTGACCTTGTGTCTCTTGTTGCCGTGACCATAACCATAACCATAAACGGCTTAATTTCAGCGGTCAACACTCTCTCTCGAATATTAGGACGACTTTCTTTCCCGTTTAGAACATTTGTAATCATCGATTGTTCGAACGTGTGTGTTCTAATCTAATCGTGATAAAATACAAACAAAAACGTATATCTTTTATTTATTATTTTTTTAATTAATTACGTTTAGTAATTATGTAATGTATTATATGTTAATTAAATTTCTTAAAGTTAATAAAACATGACCCAAGGGTAAGGAAAATTGCTATACTTCGTACCCCTCACCCTGCCTTTTAAGGGGAGGAACATTTTTTCGAATATTTTTATTAAATCGTACGAATCAAATATATTCAAAATTTATATCATTAAATAATATTATAATATATATATATATTTTTTTTTATTGAATCGTACGAGAATTCAAATAATAATTTCAATTAATAATTTAAAAGATTTGAAATCAAAAATTCAAATAAAATAATATGTACAATTGTTGCATTAAAGATAACATTTTAAATATATTATATATTTAATAAATACGGAGCAGCACATCCGCAAATGCTTTATTGTTCCTGGATTATTAAACATGAAACGGTGTAAGTGGAACAGTACAACATAATAACGCTGAAGTTATACGTTCGGTCAAACGCCATTCTAATCGGCTCGTATAAAATCTATTTAAAATTATCGATTAATAAGATAGTTGTAGTAGTAACTATTTTTATAAATATAATTATATTATCGTTTAATTTGTGTATATCAAAAAACATTTCAATTTACGATATAAAGTAAACGAAAAAATCATTTATGTCTTTTAATAGAATTTTAATTACAATTTTGTATATAATTTTTGTTTGTAGATCAATCATGAAAGGTATAACAATTATTATCGTTATCCTAGTTATTGGAATTACTCGAGCACAACTCAATTACGAAGGTAATCCGTTGACCGAAAATACCGAATACACGGCCGAGGAATCGGAATTTTCATCGAAAGTTGTTAAACCATCGATTAACGGACCACAAAAATTGTATCCGATATTTCGCGAAAGTAAGGATGTTATTTCAAAGGATACGAAATTAGAAGATGAGGAATCCGATCGAGACGTTTCGTTAACAAACTTCGATCAAACTGAAACATCAGAGTTGGTTAATATTGCATCGGCTCGTGAACTTCCGGATAATGTTTATAACAAAGTGCAACAATCTCAGATAATTCAACCTGTAACTAATACGGTCAAGACACCTGCAGAAATAGCGTTGAACACGTTTCTCAATTCCAAAACACCTGAGGAGTCTCGATTATCTTTGGATTATTTTTTACAAAACAATCAATCACCATCAACGTCCAATAACGTTATTTCGTTAAATCAAAAACAACCGATACAAATTGTATCTCATAATAATCAACAAATTCAACGACAACAACAACAATCAGTGACAAATCCTATACAAAAACAATTGTTTTATCAGCCTCAAAATGTATTGCAAATACCTGGACAAACTTATGATTATACTGCACACTATGCGGCCAATTCTCAGATATTGCAACCTTCTCAGATTGTTCAAACGAGTCCAGTGATATCAAATCCAACTGCATTGCAACAATCGTCTATTTTTTCTGATCCCCTTGAAATGATTCAATCAAGAAACGATATTGTTTCTCCAATGATGTGGCGTCAACGTAACAGGTGGATTCGTGGTCAACCATATCCCTTTGCTCAGCCTAGAATTGGTGGTGTTTTTTCTAAAGGTCCTATCGTAGGTAAGATAAATCTAAAATGTTTGATTAAAAAATCAATTAGATCGAGTTTGTTCTCAAAACGTTTAATTTTTTAACGTGAAATCTAACTTGGTTATTTGGTGAACCAAATTTACAAATATAACACGTATTAGTAATTTAAAAATCGTAAAAATCATTTCTTTGAAAATAATACAAAGTTTGATCATTCTTTGTTCGAACATAGGACCGTTTCCACCACGTAAAGGTCCAGTCGAATTAATTTACACTAAACCACCACCACCTGGATATCATCATCGTGGTCCACCATCTCACGGACCACCCAGTGAAGACGCCAGTGCTTGGTTTCCTGATGCGAATAATCCACCCCCACCAGGGGATATATATTATTCTCAATTATACGCTCAATCTTACGATCCCAATTATTACAATTACATAGCCAAAACTGGTAAAATCAAGCCCCATCTTTATGGTAAATTAGGTAAGTATCCTGAACACGAGGACGGTGGAATTTGGGCGGAACTTTATCGTGGCTTTACTAAACACGGTTTAAAAAATATCATGACACCGGGTTTCCTATTGGGTATGACACTGCCAATGATCACTGCCATGCTTATGGCATTTGTACAGAAACGATCTTTCGGAAGATACGATTCGAGAAATCTTCATGACTTAGATCATTTTCAAGAATATTTACAACGTCTACAACGAGCAATGGAATGTTATGAAAGAAAGAGAAGAAAAACTGGTGAAGTTACGACAGATGAGTGTTGAAAAGCCGCTACTCGGAGTAAGTAGCCGTTCATTGACCGAGACCCAGTGACAATCCGTCTCTTACCTATTACTTTTTATTTTTCTAACGTATTAATATCACATCGTTAGATATATTTTATATATATTTAGATATAATACTTAGTGCCTTGAATAAATATTATTTATTCTCTTTTTTTTTTTGTTTTTTTTTTTTTTTAATGTTCCCCCTTTTTTCTTAAAAAAAGGTGTGGCAATATATATGAATACTTATAGTTATTTTAAAAAGGCACAGAAATTCATTTCTATACTTAATACTTCATATATATAT